TATCACTGATGGCCTGGCTCTTTGTTTGTTTCCAGCCGTAACTTGTACAGGCACAACTCAGAGATGTTGTGGGTTCAGTTCCAGACCCCTTCCAAAAAGTAAATATCCTACTGAATGTTTTGACTTCCCAACTAAAAGTTGTGTTTATGCTTCACCATAGTCTATTAAGTGTGCAATACCATTACGTCTAAAGGAATATACCATAATTTTAAAATAATGCTGATGAGAAAATAGTGCTACAGACCTGCTCAATGCTGGGTTGCCACAAACCTTCAATTGATTAAGAAAAATGCAATATCTGGCAATCACAATGAAACAAGGTATGCCTATACTATGATTATCTGACAATGGTTAGATTCTATCTTGCCAAGTCATTGTAAACTTCTAGAAATCTATGTACCTCAGCATGTAACATATCATCCAACACACAGAAGACACTCAGTAAATACTTGTTAATTACTTCCTAAAATTGCTTATAAATCTTTTGGCTTATGAGATCTTAGTGGCCCACTTCTGAAACGCCCATGGAACCCCATTCCTACCCAATCAAGGCCATAAATATTCTGAAGGTCAGATGAGATCAACTCGGAAGCCAGGGAATGGATTCATTGTTTGACTCAAAGTGAAATTCAAACAAGACTTTGGAGCTTCAAAGAGAAACCAAACTTTCTTTTATCAGAAATGTCTAGGCCAGGTTTCAGAGGCCCACAGGATCAGAAGAAGGAACATTGAAAGGCTCACTGGGTCGACCAGGTAAGATATCTATGAATTCCTCTCTTTGGTTCTCACAGAAACTGGACCATACTAGGGGAGACAAAGGGCTTAGACGGGCCCTGACTAGGGTCTCTGGGGAAATGCCATAAATCAGGGGTCTGTATATGATGTATATACCTTTTCATAAAAGCATTCAAGATAAACCAGCGCAGTCCACAGAGACAGAATTTGCAACCACCTAACCTTGGAGATGCAGAGTCTGGCCAGCTAAGGAGGTAAGTGAAGAAACAGAACAGGTTTCAGAGATGGTTCATATCTCTGTGTGAACCCAGATACCTTAGGATAGAAGGTGGGAGACCCCACAGGACATCTCCATTTCCCCCCTCCCTGAGTCCAGCTGTAATTAAGGTGTGATCAGGTATAGGACAGATCTAGAACTGTTGGAAAGGCTCCTAAAGAACCCCCTCCCTTGTTCCTGACAGCAGCGGGGACTAAAAGGGTCTTGGGAGAGTCTATCACAGGATCCAGCTGCCTCTGCCAGTTGCCAGGTTTGTAGTTTTATTATTTATCACACATGTAAGAAGAAAGTCTGTTCTGAAAAAGGGAGACAGATATAATCCATTGTCTCATATCATGTAGCAGACTATAACATTCTGTGTGGTATCCATTATGAAAACTGAAGGCAGACGGTCCAGGGTTCAAATCTCAGCTTTGGCATTTCGTAGCTGTGTTTCTTGGAGAAGGAAATGGCAACCCACTCCAGTGTTCTTGCCTGGAGAATCCCAGGGAGAGAGGAGCCTGTTGGGCTGCCGTCTATGGGGTCGCACAGAGTCGGGCACGACTGAAGAGACTTAGCAGCAGCAGCAGCTGTGTGTCTATGACCTGAGTTACTTAACCTCTCTTAACCTCAGTTACTTTGTCTGCAAAATGCTCACAGCAGTGATATATAGCTGGAGGAATTGCCTGATGCCTACAGGGCTGTGGAGTCTAAACACCGATGCTTGCTGTAGTTGTTATTATGAACCACCCTTATGGGAAATCTGAAGTTCCTCTGAGAAAGCAAGGGGTAAATCAGGGTCAAGGCAGAAGTGGCACATGCTGCATATGTCCATCTCAGTTGACACTGCCAAACATTCTGCCACTCCTATGTCACCTGGCAGAGAGAGCATTCTTTCTGAAAAATTAATTAAAAAATAGTGAAAAGAAGATAGCAGTCAGAAAGAATAAATTCAAGTCTCAAATCCATTTATCCACAAGCAAGTTATTTCACCTTCAAAGACTCCATCTCCCTGTTTGCAGGGATGCAGGTAGAATAAAAAATAGTGGGAGAGAAAAGAAAAAGAACAAATGCTTTTAAAAAAGAAAAAAAAAGTGAGGAGACACAGTGAGTGCCTGAACTGTCAGTTGACAGACCAGTGAAAGCTGTTGCTCTTGTGGGAGAACTGGAGAGACCAGCTAGATTTTTAAAATTAGTTATTTTTTTAAATATTTACTTGGCTGCATCAGACAGCCCACTGTCTTAGCTCCTCGAGGACATACGAGATCTTAGTTCCCCAACCAGGACTCCTTTGCATTGCAAGATGGATTCTTAACCACTGGACCACAAGGGAAGTCCCTAGATTTTAAAATAAGAAAAATTTTGGGAATTTCTTGGAGCTCTATATAGTTTATATTTTTACCTTTTAGGGTCTAAGAGAAAGGAATTAAACCAACAAGATGTGTAGGACATTTATATACCACTGTGGTTCTCAAGCTTCACCAGCCTCAGAGTCACCTGGGGAGTAAGTTAAAACAGATGGCTGCAAATGGCACAATTTTTTTCTTTTTATGACTGAGTAATATTCCATTGTATTTATGTACCACATCTGCTTTATCCATTCAGCTGTTGATGGACATTTAGGTTGCTTCCATGTCCTGGCTCTGTAATAAGGGCTGCAATGAATATTGGGGTGTATGTACACCCCAATGTGAATGCACTTAGTGCCACTGAGCTGTACAGTTATATATGCTTAAAATGGTTAAAATAGTATGTTTGATATTATATACCTTTTACCACAATAAAAAAACCCATTTTAAACAGACAGCTGGTCCCCAGACTTGGGGGGTTCTTATTTAGTGAAAGTGAAATCGCTCAGTTGTGTCTGACTCTTTGCAATCCCATGGACTATAGCCTACCAGGCTCCTCCATCCATGGAATTTTCCAGGCAAGAGTACTGGTATGGGTTGCCATTTCCTTCTCCAGAGGATCTTCCTGACCCAGGGATTGAACCTGGGTCTCCCAAATTACAGGCAGACACTTAAGCATCTGAGCCACTGGGAAGCCCTTCTTATTTAGTAGGTCTAGGCAGAGGACCAGTAGTCACGTACGGATGTGAGAGTTGGACCGTAAAGAAAGCTGAGCACAGAAGAACTGATGCTTTTGGACTGTGGTGTTGAAGAAGACTCTCGAGAGTCCCTTGGACTGCAAGATCAAACCCATCAATCCTAAAGGAAATCAGTCCTGAATATTCATTGGAAGGACTGATGCTGAAGCTGAAGCTCCAATCCTTTGGCCACCTGATGTGAAGAGCTGACTCACTGGAAAAGGCCCTGATGCTGGGAAAGATTGAAGACAGGGGGAGAAGGGGATGACAGAAAATGAGATGGTTGGATGGCATCCCTAACTCAATGGACATGAGTTTGAGCCGGCTCTGGGAGTTGGTAATGGACAGGGAAGTCTAGCGTGCTATAGTTCATGGGAGTCATAAAAAGTTGGACATGACTGAGCGACTGAACTGAACTGAGGCAGAGGACCGATAATCTACATTTCTAATAAGTTCCCAAGTGAAACAGTCTCACCTGTCCAGAGACCACACTTTGAGATCCACGGCTGTAGGTACTGGAAATGAGTTTGAGATCAATTAGGAAATATGTTCAAAACAAAGGCCCTTCTCCAAGAAGGTGGTGGTAGGGGTGGTTTAAGTCACTAGGTCATGTATGACTCTTGAAACCCCATGAACTGTAGCCTGTCGGGCTCATCTCTCCATGGGATTCTCCAGACAAGAATGGAGTGGGTTGCCATTTCCTCTTCCAGGGGATCTTCCCAACCAGGGATCAATTCTGAGTCTCCTGCATTGCAGGCATATCCTTTATTGCTGAACCATCAGGGAAGCCCAAGAATTGTGTCTACTCATCAACAAACAGATGTTAAGTATTTCCTCCGTGCCAGGCTCTGTGTGGGAAGCTTTCTCACTTAATCCTGATGACACCCTCTGAGAAAGGTGTGATTATGATCTACCTGTCAGAGATAAGGAAACTGAAGCCTAAAGAACTCATGCAACTGATCAAGGTCGTGTAATTAGTAAATGAAGGGACTGGGAAAAGGACCCAAAGATGTCTGAACTCTTAGCCCTGATGCTGTCTTGCCTTTGAGTTTATTTTTTAGCTTATTAATATTAAATAGTGCCAATTAATTAGCCAGCCAAACCCAGGTTGGTCATTGATAGTTCAGAGTGTTTCTCTCCCTCTGGAAGCAATTAGGATCATGGTGGGGTGGGATGTGACGGAATTCATTTTGTAAGTGTGACTTAGAGGCACTTTGTATTGAGCAGAAAGCTCCCTGATAGCAGACTTCTGGAATCTGTTGTTTTTGTTCAGTTGTGTGTGACTCATTGCAATCTAGTATGCTAGGCTCCTCTGTCCTCCCCTATCTCCCAGTTTGCTCAATTTATGCCCATTGACTCGGTGATGCTATCTGGAATCTAGTAATGTAGAATTCAGTTTCCTGCCAGCAGGGAGTGTATCATTTAGGTGGAGAGACAAGATCAGCAGCTGCGGCAATTAACATTAACAGTTAATATCAACATTAATGATATAAGGGGCCTTTTCTCTCATCTGAATGGGAAATCTCTCCACCTGTCAGTGTCTTCAGAGTCTGAAGCTACTCGTCTGCCGCCACCCATGGTGTACTTGCTCATCAGCACAGATAATGAAGAAATTCTCCAGGCCTCTCAGTTTATCGGGGCTTCCCAGGTGGCGCTAGTGGTAAAGGACCTGCCTGCCAATGCAGGAGACATAAGAGACATGGGTTCGGTCCTTGGGTCAGGAAGATTCCCCTGGAGGAGAGCATGGCAACCCACTGCAATATAGTTGCCTGGAGAATCCTATGGACATGCTTTTATTTTTGGTGATTTTTATTTTAATGAAGATGAAGCTAAAGATAAGGATGGGATCAGATGTGGCACATATTAATTTTCTCAGAGGAGGGAAAATGCACCTTCTTACCTGTTTTGCAGCACTTGAGCATCATGATGGAGCAGGGAGTTGGAGCCAACGCTGTGCCTGGTGTTACGGCACCAGGAAATGTGTACATGATCCAGGCCAGGAATCCTGTGGCTCCTAGGAGCAAAGTGCAGCCTGTGGGCATGGCCACTTACTTAACATCCAGAGTGACCGAGAGTGATGCAGGAAGAGTGAACTCACAGACGCCACGTGTGGTGATCCAGAATCCAGCGGGAGTGAACGCCACACAGGGTCCGCCCACTGCGCTTCAGCATCCGGCAGCAGTGGCCAGTTTGCAGACCCCACCTGGGCAAATCCAGTACTCACTGGGAACCACAGACCTCCAGACCCTGCCTGGGGGCCCTCAGAATCCCCCCACATTTACTCCTGGGCTGATGTATACCTCCAACCAGTCCCAATGGAACATGCCATTTGAATCGTTTTTTACGTTCGATCCCAAGAAATTCATAAAGGAGGAGGTCAGGACACTGGGGGTGAGTGTGATCTCTCTTTTTCTCCAGTTTGGGTCCCTTCATGAGCCCGGCTATAGTGAGTGCAAAGGAAGGGAATGGATTTAGAGGGCAGAAGACACAAAGGTAGGTGGCAGCTTCTGGAGGTTGGGTCAGGACGACCCCACAGAGGCCAGTCTCTCCCTTGTCTTTGTCCAGAAACCATCCTTGAAGACCTAGGAGGGGCTGTTGTAACTACAGTACCTCCTGGTAATTGCCACAGGACATGCATAAATTGTCCTGGTGCTTGAAGAGCACAAACTAGGCAGCTCACCTGAGCTGGGGGCAGGAGGATAGGCCAGGCTCACACACACCCCAGCCCACCCCTCCCTGTCGGTCCTGCAGGGACAGACAAACCCGTGGACTGTATCAAGAGCAAGGGATTGCTTGCCTCCTGCTGCTGCTGCTGCTGCTGCTAAGTCACTTCAGTCGTGTCCGACTCTGTGCGACCCCATAGACGGCAGCCCACCAGGTTCCGCCGTCCCTGGGATTCTCCAGGCAAGAACACTGGAGTGGGCTGCCATTTCCTTTTCCAATGCATTAAAGTGAAAAGTGAAAGTGAAGTCGCTCAGTCGTGTCCGACTCTCCTAACCGTACCCAAATCAAATCTTGGATTAACTTCTATAAAATAGTACCAGCAAAAATAACCAATCTATAATAGGAATAGAAAAGTTTTATTTGAGCCAAACTGAGGTGTGTAGCTCAGAAGACAGCCTCTCAAATAACTCTGAGAAACTGCTCTGGAGAAGTAGGGTTGTCAGCTGTTTTATATCTTGTTGGATCAAGTGTACATTTCTTTAAAAAAAAAAAAAACAGATCAACACGTACACAGGGAGTCAGTGTGGCCTTCGCACCTGGGAGTAAGTGTTAGCCTCTTAGTCATGTCTGACTCTTTACAACCTTATGGACTGTAGACAGCCAGGCTCCTCTGTCCATGGAATTCTCCAGACAAGAATACTGGTGTGGGTTGCCATTCCTGTCTCTAGCAGATCTTTTGGACCCAGGGATCTAATGCACCTGGGAAGGGAGGCTTATCATTGAAGGAGCACCAGCATTGGCATCCCAGGAAGGGAGGCATTTCACCTCTCTTTGTCTTTTTTTTTTTTTGGCTGTGCCAGGTCGCAGTCCATGAGGTCGCTAAGAGTCAGACATGACTGAGCGACTTCACTTTCACTTTTCACTTTCATGCATTAGAGAAGGAAATGGCAACCCACTCCAGTGTTCTTGCCTGGAGAATCCCAGGGACAGGGGAGCCTGGTGGGCTGCCGTCTATGGGGTCGCACAGAGTTGGACACGAGTGATGCGACTTAGCAGCAGCAGCAGCAGCAGTTCTTAGTTGCAGCTTGTTGAATCTTTTCTTAGTTGTGGCATGTGGTATCTAGTTCTCTGACCAGGGATCAGAGCCGGGGCCCCTTGCATTGGGAGCACAGAGTCTTAGCCACTAGACCACCATGGAAGTCCAAAAATTTCCCAGGTGAATTTTTTTTGGGGGGGGATCAAGCTGCATAGCTTTCAGGGTCTTAGTCCCTGGCCAGGGATTGAACTCACACCCTCATCAATGAAAGCGTAGACCCCTAACCACTGGACCAGCAGAGAGATTCCTAATATTTATTTAACATAGACATTCTTTACTTCTGGTCAATATGCCCTTTTCTTTAATGACTAAAGCAAATGTACAATAGAGGTTTGATAGGCCATAAACAGGCTGTTTTAGTTAGCATATCATGTACAAGCCGGAGTGACTTCCCCAAACCTCAGTATGGGAAATTTTCTTTTGTCAACAGTATCAAGAATAGAAATCCTGGTCACAGGCAGGAAGTGAGATTATAAACGTGTATGGAAAACCTTCAATAGGTGAAGCTATTATATGATATTACATAGTAGTTATAATTTCATGTTATGATTACTTTCCTTATTAATTAGTATTGGACAAATGCTTGTTAACTTTGGGTTCCAATTACTTTAAAGTCTTTTGAAAGAATTATTTTAAGTTAGAGCAAATGCCTGGGGAACCTGATCAAACACAGAGAAAGGCCAAAAACATGGACTCTCTTTAGTGAACTACAGTCCATTTGGGAGAAGCTACACCTTTATTTTAAGATACAGATAAAGTGGGCACACAGACAAGATCCAGATCAGCTGTTATTTGATGAAGCAGCTGACATGAAACCCAGATCTGTATACTCTGCTCTAGACTCATTGAGCGTGAGAGCTGACACATCTGTTCAACCCTGATCACTTGACCCCTGAGCAACCTGAGGCCTGAAGAAGTCAAATGTCACCCCAAGTCCTCAGGTATAGCAAGTGCTGCAGGATCCCCAAATAGGAGGTGTTTTGTCCTGAATGTGGGGGTGTCGGTAAAAGGATGTAGTTGGTCGTTGAAAGAAAGATGGGATTTCAGTAGGATGAGGGTGAAGCCAGTACCTTTCAGACAGAAGGGGAAGAAAAGCAGGTGGGAAGGAGGAACAGCACAGGCTTGCAGGCACAGAGGATCCCACAGCAGGGAATACACAGGGGTGGGGCCTAGGAAAGGTGTGGGTGGAGGGCTTGCAAACACCTCCCAAGTGGCAGGACCTATCTATAAGCTTTATGGGCAGTTTAAAAAAAAAAGAAAAAGAAAAAAAATTTGGCCATGCCTTGTGACACATGGGATCTTAGTTGCCCAACCAGGGATTGAACCCACGCCCCTGCATTGAAAGGGAGTCTTAACCACTGTATTGCCAGGGAAGTCTTTTCGGGGCCCTCTTTCTAATCTCTGCAACCAATGGTTCCTAACCTTTTTTGGCACCAGGGACTGGTTTCCTGCAAGACAGTTTTTCCACAGACAGGGTGGGGGCAATGGTTTCAGGATGAGCACTATATTTCAAGAGCATTATGTTTATTGTACTCTTGATTTCTGTTATTGTTACGTCAGCTCCACCTCAGATCATTAGGCATTAGATCCTGGAGGTTGGGGACTCCTGTCTACATCAACCCCACAAGCCAGATACAGTCATCCCTGTCTTACTGAGAGACACAGGGAGGGTGCTTGCCTGAGGCCATGCAGCTGGAGAGTGCCAGAGCCGGGATTCAAGCTGGTTTGCTGCCAAAGCCCCCGCCCAGGCATCTTCTCTGCAAGCCTGCAGGTGCAGAGTCCAAAGGGAAGGTCTTCCTGATCCGTTCTATCCCCCACCCCTCCGCCTTCCCTTTATGTCCATGGCTCCCAATTCTGAGTGTACATTGGCGTCATCTGGAGCTTCAAAACAACACCTTGACATGGACCCCACCCCAAGAGATTTTGGCCCCAACAGCAGTCATACTCAGGGGTTCTGGGGTACAGTCTGGGCTGCCGAGAGCAGCTACAGTCCCATAGGCCCCCAGCTCTGCTCTTTCTCACGATGCCTTGTCCTCCCCACAGGCGACCCAGATCCTCATTGGCCTGACTCACATCTTCACTGCCATCAATCCTTCACTGTATGAGGGAAATCCTTGTTCCTTTTCCGCGATGTCAGGGTACCTGATCTGGGGAGGAATATTCGTGAGTACAAGGCCCTGTGGCCTTCTTCTGGGTTCTGAGTTACCAGACCGGGATGGGGGAGTGAAGGAAGAAAGAGCCTGGAATGCACTCCCAATAATAGGGCCCTGGGAGCCCAGAGCCAGCCACCTAAGACTGTAGGTGCTGGACAGGGTTAAGGACCCAGCCCAGACCCAGTGCCCCAGCAACTCGCCCCCTGCCTCTAAGGAACGTTCAGCTACACTCAAGCCAGTCACGTGCTTTAATTATTCCACCCTCTCGGGGTTCTCGTTTGATGTAAATGTAAATATGTAAATCATTTATAACCCCACCCTTATTCGCCCATGCCCTGTTGCTGGGAATGATTGAAGCCAGTTGGAGAAGGGGGCAGCAGAGGATGAGATGGTTGGATAGCATCATCGATTCAATGGATATGGAACTCTCCAGGAGAGAGTGAAGGACAGGGGAGCCATGTTGCAGTCCATGGGGTCACAAAGAATCAGACACGACTCAGCAACCAAACAACTACAGAATCACATGACCCTCTTGTAGATAGAAAGAGCAGGGTTTGTTTGTTCATGCCCATTTGCCAGATGAGAAGACTGGGGCTCAGAGAGGTTAGGCAAGATGACTACAGTCTCACAGCCAGGAAGGGTTGGAAGAAAGTCCTGATGGAGCCCAGGCCCCCTCAGTTCAGGGCTCTCGTAACTGGACCAAGTTCTTCCTGCCTCTGGGTTCACATAGCTGTCACCTGTCTCGCAGCATCCAGGGCCAGTTAGGACCCCCAGGCTGGGGCAGCATCTTGCCTAGGGTCACAGCAAGGTAAGTTAGAAGCAAGAGTAGAGCAGAAGCCTAGGTCTCCCATCTCCCAGCCCCAAAGCTCTGCTCACCCTGCTACCCTGTCCCTGCTTTTCCAAGATCACAGTTGAGAATAGGGCAGCGTGAGGCCAGATGATCCATGAGTTTGGGTGATGCCTGTGCCCAGGCTGTGGGCCAAATAGGGACCAGACACAAAGATGAGATGTCTAGCGTCCTGAAACAAAATTTAGGCTTTTAGGGGAAAAGATTTTAACCAAGACACAGAAGAGTTTGGGTATTGTGGCATCTAACCATTGGGATAGTGAAAATGTTGAGAGGAGGTAAACAGAGCTGCCCATCTTAAGAAACAAGGTATGTAGGCCTTAAAGACTGAGAGCTACACGTCTGAATGGACTGTGGTCTTTTCAACACACGGTACAACGGCTCTTACTCCTTTTTGTCTGTGTAGTTTATCATCTCTGGCTCACTCTCAGTGGAGGCTGAAAAGAACCACAGTTCTTGCATGGTGAGTTGTAATTCTGTCTTTCATCATCCTTCAAAGTTAGAATGTGACTCTCCAGGGGGAAGGGGCCTCCCAGTAGCTTCCCAGAGTGGCCTGGTCCTGGCAGCGGAGTTCAGAGATCTTACATACCTTACTTCATTCAGTCCCCACAGGCCTACAAAGCTCTGTGATCCTTATTCTGCAGAAGAGGAAACTGAGTCACAGAAAGGTCAGGTGACTAGACTTAAGATCACACAGCGGGAACATGGCCGAGTCGGGGTTTAAACCCAGAGCCCTCTGATCCCAGCACTGTACCTTCACCTATTGCATTTAACTACTCAGACACCTGGCATTTTGGCAAATGGCCAAGTAGTCACAGCACCATGACCTGGGGTGCTCTAGAATTAAGCAGAATGTCAGGCAGAGGCCAAGTGGAAATGTGTATACATTTCAGCCACCTCTTTAAGGCACTTCCTGCCCTCCCCTTTGGCTAGACCTAGAAAAATGAGGGGAGTGTGTGCCTTGAACAGTTCAGAGTTCAAATCGCAAGACACAGGACCCAGAATTCCCTTGCACTGTCAGAAAGTCATCCTCTGTCTCGACAGCCAGAGATACACCTGTGCATGTTTTGATTTTTGTTGTGGCCTCTAAGAAGCTTAGGGATAAATGTAGAACTTCTAAGGGCCCTCCTCTCATCCCTGGCTCCAAGTCCTTCCTCCCCCTCTCCATGTTCTCCAAAGGGCTTCTTGTCTCTTCTGCCTTTTCAATGGGAAAGCCATGGGTTAGTTAGGGGGCTGGGTTGTCCCACGGAGGGTTTCCAATGACCAGTCCTTTGTCTGCAAGGCAAATGTCTGCTGCCCCTCAGTCTGCCTTACTCCATCGCCTTCAACGGGATTAAGACCCCCTTCCCCAGGCCCCCCAACATGAGCTGAGCTCACAGTGCTCCTTAATCCCCTAACAAAAGTGGATCAAACTCTTGTCCCACATCTTCTGGGAAATCCAATGACTTCTCCAAGATGCCTACCAATTCCTGGGGGGCTCCCAGTCCCCCCTGGTTCTAATGATTGACTTCCAGTTGAAGTGTCTACTTCCATCTCTACTCTGCTTGCCAGCCTTCCCAGCCTCAGCCCACAAGTGGACACAGTCCTTCCCTCCCCATCTCCAATCCTAAGAACCACCCCCCAGGGGAGGCAGGTGAGCAGGGGACATCGTGAGTGATTGGAGGATTTCAGCATCCCGATACTGGGCAGCAGATCCTTTAAAATGGAGTACTAGACTTTCTGGTTCTGAAAACCTTCCCCAGCCAATCCTGCCAGCCCAGACTCCAGCTCCCTCCATCAAGACCAGAACTTTCATCTCCCTTCTCTTAAGGCAATGCTCTAATCCCAACTGATGCCCCCTGCCACCATCACCCCCAACCCTGCTCATTTCTTCTGCAGAGCAGCTCAGCATCCTTGCCGCCTCTCCTCCCAATCTGGCTTTTGAATCTCATTTCCTGCACCGTCAGCTGCTTATGGAGGTATTTTCCCAAACAAAGCAGCCCCTGCCCCAGGTAGACTCTGCCTATTGAATAAAGAATAATCTTCTCACCTCAGTGAGTTTAGGTTAAGCTGGCCTCTCCACACCCACCTCCTTCCTGTCCAGGCTCCCCTTTCCTCCTGCTCCCCACAGGCCTGGCTTCAAACTCACCTGTGCCTCTCTCCCTGCCCCTTCCAGGTTCACGGCAGCATCGGCATGAATGTGGTCAGTGCTGTCATTTCCCTGGCTGGGGTCTTGCTTCTCATCATGGATCTGTGCTTTACCCTGCCGGTGAGCATCCAGACTACCAGCACCCCAGGCTTCCGAAAGACTGGGGAGGTTTGTTTATGAGGTTGTTCCAGAGCAGGAAGGAATCACAGCCAAATTCCATCTTAGTATGACAGCCCTAGGTCCTAAAATGTGTTATTTGTTGTTGTTCAGTCACTCAGACATGTCTGACTCTTTGCAAACCCATGGACTGCAGCATTCCAGGCTTTCCCATCCTTTACTATCTCCTGGAGCTTGCTCAAACTCATGTCCATTGAGTTGGTGATGCCATCCAACCATTTCACCCTCTGTCGTCCCCTTTTCCTCCTGCCCTCAATCCTTTGAAACATCATGGTCTTTTCCAGTGAGTCAGCTCTTTGCATCAGGTGGCTAAAGTATTAGAGCTTCAGCTTCAGCATCAGTCCTTCCAATGAATATTCAAGGTTGACTTCCTTTAGGATTAACAGGTTTGATCTCCGTGCTGCCCAAGGGACTCTCAAGAGTCTTCTCTAGCACCACAGTTCAAAAGCATCCTAAAATATGTAACCCTCACCAAAACCCCTGACTTCTGAGGCAGGTGAGATAGACCCCATTTTATGGATGAGGACACTGAGACTCAGAGAGCTGGAGCCAGGTGGCCCCTCCTTTTATCTGTTCTGTTCCTGCTTCGAGGCAGCAAACGCCAAGGCAAGCAGGTGGGGCAGTAGCCACACTCAGACCTCAAGGCCGCCTGCCCCCAGGAAGCTGTTGAGGGAGGGACAGCTGGTGGCAAGAACAGGAGGTACTGACCCCAGGGTCTCGTCTTATCTGGGGCCCCCAGAAGCAGGTGCTGGAACAGGGATTCAGGAGCAAGTCATTTATTTCAGAGGTTCCCCTAGGAAATACCGGTAGGGGAGAGAATAAGATGAGCAAGGAAAGGAAGGCACGGATAAAGGATGTCACCAAGCAGGTCACTGCCGGAGCTTAGTCCTGCTGGGACTCTAGACCACAGAGAGGGCACTGCCTCAGAGTTACATCCTGTCCTGGGTGAGGGGCCTGGGGTACTCACCCACCAATTCCCACCATCACTGATTGAAAACTACTCCTGGGGGCATCGAATGCCCTGGACTCCAGTCTGCCACACATGTGCCAGTGTGCCTGTGAGGTGAGTCTCGCTTTGGGTTCCTCCCATAGCTGAATTTTTTCTTTTTTGGCTGCACTGGGTCTCATTGCTATGTGCAGGTTTTCTCTAATTACAGCCAGCAGGGGCTACTCTCTAGTTGCAGAGCGTGGACTTCTCATTGCTGTGGCTTCTCTTGCTGCAGAGCCCAGGTTCTAGGGCTCGAGGGCTTCGGTAGTTGTGGCGTGTGGGCTCTAGAGGGCAAGCTCGGTAGTTGTGGCACATGGGCTTAGTTACCCCGAAGCGTGTGGAATTTTCCCAGACCAGGGATCAAACCCATATCCCCTGCATTGGCAGGCAGATTCTTTACCACTGGACCACCAGGGAAGTCCCAAAACTGACTTTGAGACAAGTAGCTTATTTGGGAGAGGAAGCAAATGCCAGCAGGGTGGTGAGAAATGAGGTGGGGAAGAGAAGGGACCAGTAAAGATGTGATGTAATCCAGCCACTTACCCTGAGTGTTGGTTCCTAAACCAGTCCCCACACCTGGAGGGCAGGGGGAGGCAGCCATGCCAGACTGGCAGGTGGCAGGTCTAATAAGCCAAGGAACTGATGTATGAGGCTTGTCTTGGGCCGCTGCAAGATGAGTTGACCTCTCCACTGCCCATCAGAATCCTACAAACTTAATTGCATCCAGTCCAGGTGGTCTCAACACCACCTACTCTCAAGGCTGCATCCTCGAAAATGACTCCTACTGCAGAAGTGCCTTCCAAGGACAGGGAAGGGGTGAAGACCTCCAATTGCCTGGGTCCAGCTGTCAGAGGACTTCCCCTAGGTGACCTTTTCCAGCACTGAGAACTCACCTGGGAAGGCAGTGCAGACCCATGCTTCAGTCACTCCCTCCAGCCCAGGGGTGACAACCGAGGGTATTTATCCACTGGCCCCTGTCAGTCATTGATAGACTGCTGATCTGAAATCTCCCCAGAATTTTGGACCTGTTGTACGAAGAGCAAAGTGGGCTCCAAGGGCCGGAGAAAGCCCCAAGGCAAAGAAACGCAGGTGCCAGCAGTTGGAAGTCTGGCTGTCGTGCCCTCAAAGGTGCCATGGGGGCATGTGAGGGGACACCCATAGCAACTGCTCACGGAGCACGTGCCAGAGGGTCTGGGGCTCTCCAGCTGAGGCATGTGGCGCTTGCCTGAGATGAGCCCTACAGGCGTGGACGGTCACAGGACAGTCACCTCTGTGACAAAACCCTTCCCATTCCTCTCTGCCCCTAGATTAACGTGAAGGCAATTTCCGGTGGTCTCCTCCCCTTTGCCCTGCTGGAGTTCTGCCTCACCTGTGTGGTCTCGCATTTTGGGTGCCAGGCTACGTGCTGGAACCAGTTTATGGTGAGTGTTGGGCCCTGCTCCAGGAATCAGAAAGTGCTCCGGGGGTAGCAGAGGTGACCGGACACTGGGAGAAGTGGGGCCTGAGAGGACGTCTTAGTTGGTTCAGGATGTTATAACAAATATACCACAGGCTGCATGGCTTGTAATTATTTCTCAGAGTCTAGGAATCTCAGATCGGGGTGACTGGATGGTCCGGTTGTGGTAAGAACTCTCTTCCTGGCTTTCGGATGGCTGTCTTCGTATTATAGTTTCCCTATCTTACAGAAAGATAGGGAGAGCTCTCTGGCATCTCTCTCTCTAAGGACACTAAACCCATTCATGAGCGCTCCCCCCTCATGACCTGTGAGCGTGCTAAGTCGCTTCAGTTGTGTCCCACCCTTTGCAACCCCATGGACAGTAACTCGCCAGGCTCCTCTGTCCATGGGATTCTCCAGGCAAGAAAACTGGAGTGGGTTGCATGCCCTCCTCCAGGGGATCTTCCAGACCCAGGGATTAAACCCACGTCTCCTGTGTCTACTGCATTGGCCAGTGGGTTCTTTACCACCAGTGCCACCTGGGAAGCCCCCTCATGACCTAATTACCTCCTAAAGGCCCCACCTTCTGATACCATCAGATTGGAGGTTAAGATTCCAACATACAAATATTCAGTCCACCACAAAGAGGGTGTAGCTGTGTGTTTCTTTTGCTGCAAAAGAAACTGCTGGAAAACTCAGAAGCTTAAAACAGCAAACATTTCTTTAGCTCATAATTCTGAGTCTCAGTGTAACCAGTGGGTCTTCTGTTGGCCTCAGATGGACCCACTTGATACCAAAAGCTTAGCTTCTCTATACACTGGTGCTGAATTGAATCTCAGAGATAGAGTTGTGGGTGAAGTAGAAAAGAATAGCTTTATTACTCTGCCAAGCAAAGGTGGTGGGGTGGAGGGGGTGTCACAGTGGCCTAATGCCCCCATCAAAACTGTTGTGTCTCAACTTGGGAAAGATAGTGGGAAGTTTTATTGTAATTGTTCAAAGAGGGTGTGATCAGCTTGTCGACGTTCTTCTGATGGGTTGGTGTAAGGTAGGTAGAAGCCAGCATCATCAACTTTCAGGTCCAACTGGTCTGAGGTCTACATACCCGTGGACAGTACATTATTGTTAATCATTAACTTCTCTCACCTGGTGGGGGTTTCAGTATCTGAAAAATAGCTCAAAGATATTGTGTGTATTCACTGATAGGGAAATAGGACCCTGCCCAAGACTGGTCTTGACTGTTTTATTTCTCCCTTGTCTCTCACCCCCTCCCATCCCTAATTAACAACAGCTTGAATCGGCCCATTGGAACTCAGGAAAGGTCAGGGGACCTGTATGAAGGCTGATTCCTATAATCAAAGAGATGAGGGATACAGAAAGGCCTCATGCTCAGGAGCCCCATAGAGCCCTGCACAGTGTCACATTCAGACAGGTGTGGCAGCTGCCAGCTTGGCACCAGCTGACCAACCAGAATCTTCGAGGAAAAGTTCACCTCTGCTCCAAGTGGTATCACTTCCTCCAGGAGGCTGGCCTGAGCTTCTTCAAGGGTAGCTGGATTCCAAGAGCAGTGAGTCACAGCCAGCCCCACAGGCACAGACTTTAAGTCCCTGCTCATGCCACATTCTCTAATGTCTCTTTGGCCAATGTAAGTCACCTGGCCAACCCAGGATTCAAGGGGATGGAAACTGCAATGTGCCCTCCTGTTTGATAAGAGGAAGACAGGGCAGTCAAGGCTTATGTCAGGTTTATGATTCTCTGGGTCTGCTGGGTAGTTCTTCTGGTTTGGGTGAGCTCAGCTGACTTCTGCTGGACTCACCATGAGTCTACAGTCGTTTGGTGAGTTGCCTGCTAACTGGATCATCTTGGATGCTCTCAACTGTAGGTCTGGCAGTTGCACGCCACCTACCAATAGGGCCAACTGGCCTACTTTTCTCTCATCACCAAGTGGACCAGCCCAGTCTTCTTTACATGGCAGCCTCAGCATTTAGAAAAGCAGCGAGGGAGCAAGCATGGATTTGCAGACATTTCTCAGATCTCTGATGCTTCACATCTTCACTGTTGGTCCATTGACCCAGGGAAGTTCCTGACTAAGACCAGCATCAGTGAGGGAGGGTCTACCCAAGGGCATGGCAGCAGGAAGGGGAAGAATTTGTGGCCATTTTTGCAGTTGACCACAGGGGAAGTTGATGGCCTCATATCCTTTGTCTTTCAGAACAGGACAGAGGTCCCGACCATAGTCATTGCCAACCCAGCCAACACTGCCACCGGCTCTTTCAGCGCTGCCAGTGATACCAGTGGCCATGCCAACGTTACCACCAGCCCTACCAACCCCACCTCCCCCACCAGCGCTGCAGTGATGGTGCCCCCTGTACCCTCCTGTGAAGATGTAGCTGGTTTTGCCCAGAAATAGTCTGTTTCAGTGATGAGGAGGAGCCATTTCAGTTAAATCTTTCCTTTGCCCAGAAACTATGCTGGTCCAAAATGAACAATCACTTTCTCCCTTCTTTACTCCTCAGTTTCATTTATTGATGTCTTGTTTTTTTTTAATTCATAAATCATTTCTTGGGACACGGCATCCTTTAACCTTGGTGAAGTGCAGGGTGCACTTTTACTGTCGCTCGTGGTGGAGGCGCACTGTTCAGGGTTAGCCACTCAGTCGTGTCCGACTCTGTGACCCCACGGACTGTAGCCCACCAGGCTCCTCTGTCCATGGGATTCTCCAGGCAAGAATATTGCAGTGGGTTGCGATTTCTTTTCCAGGGGATCTCCCTGACCCAGGGATTGATCCCGGGTCTGCCATTCTAAATTGGTGCCTCAGTCATGGAACTCTTGGAGGTCCAGCTCTGGCCCCTTCCCCAAAGCTCTGACCCTGACACAGTTGCCCCAAGCAGCAAGAGGAGCAGTGGAGAGTGTGGACGCTGCAGCTGCAGTGTAGACGCCTCAACACTCATGGGTGAATGAGCAGAAGAGTGTATGGACCCACATGCTGCTGTCTGGGGTTCTGGAAACGTGCCTCACTCCTATCCCAGAGAGAGAACTAATCAGGTGGCTCAGTGGTATATACACACTAACTTAAAACACCTTATCTTGATGAAGAGGTACCTTCCCCATTTGCACAAAGTGCTCTATGGACTAGTAGTGTCCTAGCATGTGCTTTCAGCCCACGGAGAGTCAGCTACTGAGCAGTCCCGTCATCTCGGTCCCCCCTCCATAGTCCTGACTTCAGCCTGACAGCAGACCCCAAAGTAGGACTTCCCTTCGGGTCCAATGGCTAAGACTCTGAGCTCCTGATACACGGGGCCCAGGTTCAATCCTTAGTCAGGATCCCACACGCCACAGTTCAGACCCAGAATGCTGCAATGAAAGGATCCTGCATGCCATGACAAAGACCTGGCACAGCCAAATCAATACATAAAACATTTAATTAGTTAAGTTTTAAAAGATGATGGAAACCACATTCCTGGTGCCATGCAAGAAGGTGGCAGTAGGCTCCTTACAGACCTCCAAGTTACTTCCAATTGATGTGCTGACAAGGGACCTCTTTCGTGCTAATGTGACAGTTGCTCCTAGCATAACTGCAGTAAGTGATTCTGCTCAAGCATCTCTTTTCTACTAGGAGGAAGGAAGAGGGGGCAAAAAAAAAAAAAATGAGTGAAGGCTGCGAAACCCCCATCCCATTATACCTGATGGCCTGAATCATCCCAGTCACAAGCCCTGGGTGACACATTTATGTCACTGATCATCCGAAGGGCCCTGTGACCACTGTGTAGCCCTTAAAGTGTGGTTCTGGAGGCCTTCCTAATATAAAAAGTCAGAGGGTGGGAGGGGGAGCTGGGAGGGTAAGGGGCAGGGCCGTCGGTAACATGTATACAGCAGCTGTATTTCATGAAAAACAAATATTTCATCTCCAACAATAATACAGGTAGATACTTGAAGCCCGTTTTACAGATGAGAAAACTGAGACTCAGAAACTGTCCCACAAGGCGCATCTCAGAAGGACACAGAGCCAGTTTGAAGGGGATCCCACTGGCTTAAAAAGGAACAATTTGAACTTCAAGAATAATAACAATTGCAAAAATAGTAATAACAACAACGACAATGCCTGTGATGGGTTGGACCATGAGCCTTCATAGGGATACTAAAAATATATTTTTTATCACCTGTGGAGGCAGTTAGGGCACTCCCATTATTCTGAAAATGGTAAATGACAGGAAAGAATCAAGCATTTCCAGAAGGAAAAACGAGTCACTCAGCTAGAGAGGGTGGCTGCCCACAGTGCCCAAGTCATGAAGGAAAATGGGTCACCAACTGTGGGAATGGACCGGGTGGGGCTTAGTGCTGGGCTTAGAGTCTGGACAGTTCCATTTTCCCGGCAGCTCCCGGTTCTTAAACTGTCAGCACAGATTCTTTGGTCCCTGGCCTACGGAGTTGCTGATGTGAGAGATGAGGAGGCCGCCACGGAGAACAGACTTCTTCATTCACCTATCACCAGGGAAGGACCACAAGACAACCATGGAACCTCCATGGCATTCCTCCATAAGCGTTTATTCTTGCTCACCAGTCACTGGGTTGGCTGAGCAGGCCTCCTGCTCTGATCTAGGCTCACCCGTGTGTTTGTTTTCAGCTCAGGGTCAGCCAGAGGGCCCTGCTGACCTTGGCCGTGCTCTCCCACACTCTGGGGCCTCTGCGGGCACAGCTGGGCTGGCTTGGCTCTCGTCCTCCAGCAGGCTGGCCGGGACATGCTGCATGGCAGATGCTGGTTCCTGAAGAGGACAGAAGCAGGTGATACCTCCTGAGGCCTCAGGTCAGAGCTAGCGCCGGCCACTTCTGCTGCACCCAAGCCAGCCCGGATCCAAGGGTTTGGGGAACTAGACTCCTATTGTAGCTGCAGGAGGTGTGGATACAGAGGGAAAGAGAACCAGGCCCATTTCTGCAATCAGACTGTTCTATACCTGGTTGAGCTGAGAGCCAGCCGGGGCCATGCTCTTCCAGTCCACCCCCACACCATCTCCCTGACTGTGCCCAGAGGTCACAGGGGCTATTTTGATGAGAACTTGTATCTAGAAACTGGTGCACAAATTCTCTTTGCCCGTACCACTCGAACACCACTCTGTGGGCATGCACACTCACAGTCACACATGTTAACACATTCCAATACCCTCACACAAGTTCACACCCCCACATATTCACATACCACACTCACACTTGCACACATGGTCACATGCTCACAGACACTCACATACACCCACACTCACACACCTACACTCATGCATGCCTACACATGTTCACATGCATGCACTCCACACACACACATGCTTTCACAAGCTCAGGTACACTCACACACACGTTCCCTCACACACACGTCCACACCCTCACACACATGTACTCACACCTGCTCACACTCACTCCTACAATCTTGCTCTGCCATGGGAAAGCAGGGGACTGACTACCCGATGTCAGACAAGTTCAGCTGGAAGAAGTCAGGCCGCTTCCTCCGGGTGACTCTCAGGCTTCCCCCATCCTGAGCAGCAAGAGGGTGGAGGCCGACGGGGACCCCTGTGGACCAGGTCCCGGCTCTGACACTCACAGTGGGACCCCAGCAGGCCACTGGCTCTTCCGGGCCTAGTCTCCCCTCTGAACGTTGAGGGAAGGAGCTGATGCCCGCAGGGGCCCTGCTCCCGGGAGCCCATGGTCCCAATAGCAGGTTCCTGGGCCCCTGGGTGGGTCAGGCCGGATGGGTGAGGCCGCAGAGCCGGGAGGGACTTGAGAACTTCCCACAGGCGGCAGCTCACAGCAGAGGATTTCCAAGCCCCACACGAATAGCAAGGCTTTCACAGGAGCATGTGTGAACTCAGGAGGGGCAGCCGAAGAGCAGCGGCAGTGGCGAACAGGCGGCAGCGGGGAGCAGGCGGCAGTGGGCACGGCGGCGGTGACAGCCGGGTGAGTACGCCTGCCCTTCCAGGAGCAGGGGGGGCGGGACAGGGGCGAGGGGCGGGACGGGGGTCCTTGGGACGAGACAGGGGATATGGGGCGAGACAGGTGGCCTGGAAGGAGACAGGGGACCTGGAATGAGATAGGGGACCTGGGACAAGACAGGGGACGCAGGGTGAGACAGGGGATCTGGGACGAGACAGGGACCTGGAAGAAGACAGGGGACATGAGGTGTGACAGAGGACCCGGAGCAGAGGCACGGCAGACGCCAGGCAAGTAGAGAGGAGGAGGCCACTGGGCGGAGAGGGTGATGACGCCGGGTCCTTCGCCGCCCGGCACTAAGTGGGCAGGACAGCTCCCAGGCCTCTGAATTCCTGGCCTCCCTCTGATGGGGACCCTCAGCTCAGAACCACGGCCAGGTGTTCTCTCCTCAAAGCCAGTCACTGAGAAGACCCGGGCCTGGGCCCGAGACCCTGGGCCCCCAACCGTCCTCTCAGGGAACCTGAATCCTCCTCTCAGCTTCCCCCACCCTCCCTTACCTCAAGCCCCACCCTCCCCTCAGGCAGGCTGAAAGGTGACTCCAACCCTGTCCCTCCCTTCTCCAAGGAAAGAAAAGGACCTGGCAGATTCTAAGCTGGTGAGGGGCTTAGGGGCAAATATTATCTCACCTCTCTTTTCTCTCCCATGGACGGAGAAGCCTGGTAGGCTGCAATCCATGGGATCGCAACGGACACAACTGAGCGACTTCACTTTTCACTTTTCTCTTTTATAGATGAGGTAACAGAGGCCCAGCAAGGGGAAGGGGCTGTCCCCCAGGCCCTCAGTGCAGAGCGAGTAGCATAGAATAGTGGAAACCTTCAGAGGGGCCAGGCAGTGGGGGTGGGGGGAGGTCGGCCCTCCTCCAACACGTGTGCGCATCTGACAGCATCATTTCCAGGACAGCAAAGCAGGCCTGACCCGTCCTGAACGGGCTGGGATTGGAGAAGCTTTCTGCCAGCCTGACGCCACAGGCTCAGACTTAGAGAGAAGGGACCAATTCCTGCCCATCGACACAGAGGTGGGGCCTGGAGGCAGGGGGGGAGTAGATGGGGCATCCTCGGAAGACTCGAGCACCTCACCTCCCACCAACATCATAGTCGCCCACTTGACTGATGGGGAAACTGAGACTCAAAGAGGTTAGGCAACTTCCCCCAGGGCCTGCAGCTGATAGAGCAGAGGGGTAGGCTGGATTCTTCCCAGGCTAACCCCTGGGGCCTGAGATCTCAGCCACTCGGTAAAGCTGCCCCCTCCCAGATGTGCAGCGCCGCCCCCTCCCCCAAATGTGCTCTTTGCCTTTCATCAAGAGCCTCTCTCCTCCAGCTGGTAACACCTCCCCCTTCCCAGCTGCTGTGACTGTGAATGAACAAAACTGCTTCTGGCGCCTCGTGAGTAAAGTTGATGCTCAGAGACACTCACAAAACAAGCCCAGGCAGCTGAGAG